TTCCATATCCAGTTCTAACTGTTGCTTCCTGTCCCACATATAGGTTTCTCAGGAGATAGATAAGGTGGTCAGGCACTCCCATTTCTTTAAGGACTTGCCATAGTTTGCTGTGGTCCACACAGTCAAAGGCTTTTGCGTAGTCAATGAAGCAGAAGTAGATGTTTTTCTGGAACTCTCTGGCTTGTTCCATAATCCAACACATGTTAGCAATTTGATCTCTAGTTCCTCTGCCCCTTTGAAATCCAGCTTCTACTTCTGGTAGTTAGCGCTCCACATACTGCTGAAGCCTACCTTGGAGGATTTCGAACATAACCTTGCTAGCGTGTGAAATGAGTGCAATTGTACGGTAGTTGGAGTATTCTTTGGCACTGCCCTTCTTTGCGATTGGGATGTAGACCGATCTTTTCCAATTACAGCTTTTCCCACTCTTTTGTTGACTGTGAGGGCTACTCCATTCCTTTCGGGCTTCTTGCCCAGAATAGTAGATATGATAATCATCTGAATTGAATTCGCCCATTCCTGTCCATTTTAGTTCACTGATGCCCAGGATGTCGATGTTTATTCTTGCCATCTCCTGTTTGACCACCTCCAGCTTACCAAGGTTCATAGATCTTACATTCTAGGTTCCTATGCAGTATTTTTCTTTTGCAGCATCAGACTTTCCTTTCACTTCCATGCGTGTCCAGTGTCGTATCTTTTAGCCTTTTGTTTCTGTTCATGGGGTATTATTGGCAAAGATACTGGAGTGGCTTACCAATTCCCACTCCAGGTGGATTGCATTCAGCCAGAACTGTCCACTATGACCTATCCGTCTTGAGTGTCCCTGTATGGCCTAGTCCACAGCTTCTCTGAGTTACTCAAGCCCCTTCGCCACTGGACTAAAACCTTAAAGAACTAGGGCAACAGGGCAAAAAGAAAAGGTGTCCCGCTACCCATGATCTGTTCCCTAGAAGATCCTTTTGTACTCCAGATCCAACAAGGAGTCACCTAAGGAACCACACTGAGAGCCATAAGCACATCCCTAAACTCACTTCCCCCTACTGCACAGCAATCAGAAGACTGCTTTTTAATTCTCCTGTACTATGAATTTTTTGAAGTACTAAACTTAATCCCCATAGTGCTGGTAAAGATCTCAACTCGTACAAATGCTGAAGGAAACTCTTCCAATAAAAGTTAGCACACAGCAAAGTATTTTTCTAATCCTTCCTTTTCATTCTTTTACTACATAAGTGGATTTAGTGTTTGTTCACTGCAGAGCATTTAAGCAGGATAAGAGGTGCCTTCCAGAAATTACATCACAGGAAGCTGTTCCTACACCTAATCAATGCAGAGTGAAGTAAGCTGATCAATGCAGAGCGAAGTAAGTTTCCAAAACAGTGCTCTCCTGCCTAGAAAGAGAACAATGGCATCTAAAAATTCATAAGTGATCTCCAGTTCCCTGTATGCACCTCCATTCTAGAAAAATACCCAGAGTGCTATGGTAACAAGAGTGGCTCACATCTACTAAGCACCTTAAGAGTACTGCTGGAAGAAATAAGCAATCAACATCATTTATTTATTTATTTACAAGATTTTTTTTAGCCATGCCATTACCAGTGGTCCCTAAGCGGCGTACAACAATATTGAAACTTTAAAAACATTAAAACCATTAAAAATAGGCAATATTATAATAATATCCTATATTAAAAAGTCATTAATATTAATAAATCCTGTTCATATGGCCAGCTTAAAAATACTATTTAATTAAAATCAACATCACAGAGCCAATTTGAATTCTTTTCAGAGATGCAGCAGTACCTGCATATCAGAGGCTAGAGTCTCATAGGTATCTTTCAAACAGTGCCAATTCTGTCTGCCCAGGGTCAACGCCACACCAGGAAGGCTATATGCACAGTGCTTTGCAATCTCCGTATCAACAGTCTGAGCTCGAGAGGGATCTGTCATGGATAAATACTGGTCTAGCAAGGCCTGAGGTACAATATCCTAAAAGGGAAATGAAAAATGTAAAATATTCTACAAGTAGAATTTCACTGTATAGAAATAATTAAATCAGCATGCTTAAAATGCAAAAAAGATCTTAGCAGCTTCAGGAAGCTCTTGATTTATGAGTACAAATACAAATGATTTTGTAAGGACAGCCAATGCAGAAAGTTGAAACAGAGTGACTTGACTCTGAAATGTACTGGGAACATATTTTAAACCTCTTCCACTGACACCATAGTTCCTACAGAACTTATGTAGTTAATTTTAAATATATATATTCTGAACAAAGTGGATCATAAGGAAAACCACTAACATTTAGTAAATGGTTACATGTACTAATAAGAATACTAGCTACAGCCTATAACATTTCATACAGAACTACAGACAGATTAAATGACAACAGCTTTTGCCAAATCATGCATTCTCAACTCAACCCCCTTTCATCCTGAGCAATGCAGCAACAGTAATTTCCTGGAAATGCTCAGGACTGTAGACTTTGCGCTGGGAAAAGGTCACATACACAGCTCTGTTTTCCCTTAAACCTATGTCAGGGAGGGCAGTATTTGGCCCACCTGGAATATTTTTGTGCTCCTTACCCTTCCTCCTCCTAAAAACTGTTCAGAAAGTTCCCTTGTGCCCTTCAGTTGGTATGCGGGACAAATCTGCGATGTTTTGAGGATCCCCAGCATTCAATTAAAAATCTGTTTTGGAAAATAACACCTTTGGCTACTACAGGACACAATGGAAGTGGAGGGGGGTGTCAATCAGAACCCCTTCTTTTACGTTGAACTTACTTCAGCCAAAATAAATGCCCTCTAGCAACCTTTATAATGCACTGTACACCTACTGAATAAGAAAATAAAAATAAAAGTGAACAAACGTGCAGAACAGCCTCTGTGGCCAAGTTCTGCCCAAGTGTCCTGCTCATAAAAGAAAACTCCCAGCTAGCACTGGGGCAGGAACAAGAAGTTTGGGTAATGCTTGCTCTAGCTAAGCCTCTGAAAGTCTTTCTCCCAGGTGCATCATACTGAGGTGTCTGAAAGGTGCCTACAAAGTGTGTAGAACTCACAGAATGGAGAATTATGGTATTTGTAGCCCAGAAAATCTGAAAATCCCATTGCTAATAATTCTGCTTTTGCAGGCTCTTCTGTTACACTGGTTATGAGGATGTAGGATTGGTTGAGCAAAAGAATGCTTACGTAGTTGCTCTTCCATTCCTGATAGGATACAGGCCTACATGTAATTATTACAGATTGGTGGTGAATTATACATATAGGATGATTCTATAAAGGCTGAGATTTTCTGATGGAAATACCTGAATTTTAGATTTTTTCTCTTCATCGGGGCTGAAGCTACTATTGGTGCTTAAGTCAGAGTCATGATGAATATAACGAAGAGTAGAGTCTACAATGTCCTATAGTAGAAAGCAAAACACAATTTACAACACAGCTGTACTCTAAAATTAACACATCCTCTGAATGTCTAACTCAAAGTACATTACTACAGAATACAACAATGACATTACTTCTTTTTCTGGCATTAAAAACCCTGCTAAGTTCCAAATGTTAAAATGCTTATGTGATAAATTTATAAGAGCTAAGCATTTACCTCCACAGCATCATTGATTAAAGGCACTGTATTATCCTGAATCATTTTGCAGTTCAACTGGTCTTTGATGCTCAGCTCACTTTGACAATCCACTGACTTGCCAATGCCTGCAGCCACTTCCTCGTGAGGATCTAGACTTGAGGCCCGGAGAGCAGCTGAGAGCACCTCCATTTGTGCTGTGCATCAAAGGAAGCATATACAATATATCAGAAGAACATTCTATCAATAGCTCCTTCTCAACAGTTAAAAGATGCCAAGCAATAACTATTTTGCAAATTTGTGGACTTTGTCCAAACAAAATTCAGAACAACCTCTATTTACTCTTTTTTGCTTTGTCCTTAGTATCTCATTTCTTTGTTTCCCTGTATCTACAACTCTCCTCACTCCCCAGGCCCAGCATTCACTGCCAATCCCAATAAAAGCCTTATTTCCCTCTCTGCATGCATTTTATCTTTCTCTTCTTCAGTATCTTTTATCTTTCTTCTCTTCGTATTCTTGTTGGATCCTAGTTTACTAGATGTTTCTCTTCGTATTACTATCCCTGTCTTTCTTCCTTGCACTTCCTAAATAGTGTAACTGTTCCCTTGGTCCTGAAGGCATTCATCTGATTTTGCTTTAACATTATAATTTCCAAAGCAGATCATTTTATGGAGCCATCATGTCTTTGAATTTTAGTCATTTCAAAAATACATTAAGATGTGCTGTTTTAACATTCTATTTAATTTCTTACACTGACATATCATAGGCAATCAATAAAACAAAAGTAGAACTAAGCCTCAACTCCTTTCTATAATAAACTCATGATGGTCTGAGTTTTGATTCTGTACATCTGGAACTTTTAATGAAAGCAAGAATCCGGCTCTCACAGATAGAGTTTTAAAAACATGCAACGATGGGTAAGGTTTTTACTTTAAAAAATCCCATATCCGATTTATAATCATGCCAATTAAATACTATTTTGTAAAGTCATTTATGTTTTGACAGCAAAAATTCAGAATTACAGAGGATGTACTATTACCATTTGTGTTCCATTGTTCTAGGACATACCATGTTTATGACAACAATATGCCAATCATGTTTACCTGAACTTTCAAAATGTGAAGGTTACTTACAGAGCTTTAGTGTCTAGTGCAATGTAATGGCATGCTAGGAGTTACAGACAAAAAAGGAGCTTATCCAAGCTCTGGGCCCCAGACTAAAAGCATCAGTGGTGGTCAATAGCTAAAGCTGGCTGTATGGCTCTTCTCCTGCTATACACTGAGCTGTATTAGGAGTTGTAAGACCCAGCAGAGATGAAAGAAGCAATTCAAACCGGGGGGGGGGGGAAGGACATTGTCTTTGGCTGTTTGCCAAACGAGACAGAGGTCACTATGTTGGTTATGCTCAGTCTAGACTGAGAGGGTACAGAATCTTCTTTTGAAAAAATAAAATAAAGGTTCAGTGTTGAATATACAACTGGAAGAAGTGAAACATGAACCAATTGCTGAACACATTGGGTTTGCTAGGCACAGCTGAAATTCCTGGTGACTTGGGAACTGCACGTGTGACACAGCCGTACAACAAACCATAAGAACAATTTTATAGCATGAGGTTTGATGAGTTCTCATACACTATCAATCCTTCCAAGACCCCTCTAAATGGAAGTCAGTACACTACTATCCCAATCTTGCAGGTGACATGGTAGAGGAGGTTGAAAAAAGTGTTTTGACAAAGCTTTTCTAGTGAATTAATGAATAAGGTCTTCCATCTTAGAGCTCTTTCACTTAATGACATATTGTTATGAGTCATCTGCTTATATCTTCTGCAGCACCACAGCTGCAAAACTGTACTTCAGAGACACTTTCCATGCAATCTTTAGAAACAAAGAGAATTAGCAATTTCAGAACTTTTTTACAGAACTGCTAAATAGCTCAGTAGTTTAGATCTCTGCCTGTGAAGCCAGAAGTTGGGAGTTCAATACCTCAGGGTGCCTCATTGTCAGGGACTGGACTTGGCGATCCATAGAATCCCTTCCAGCTGTGCAGTTCTAAGATTATAACTACTATTATTATTATTATACAGAGACTGTGTAAATAAATTACTATCAAGTGTAAAAGTTTAACTTTAGCAATTGCCCTTCATTAAATATTAACTTCCTTACAGTATTCTACGGGATATATCACTAATTTCTGTTGGACTTTATTTTTGATTGACTTTCAGCAGCATACCAGTTATACCTGTCCTAATCTTTTCCAATTCAGGTACAGCCTGGGCTTGGTTCTTATCAAAATTCAGCTCTCTTATGTTGCTTAAAACTTTACAGGATCTACTTGGTGAACATTAAGATGACCATTTGCGGTGGAGGAGGTCACACTTGTGATAAAGACATATATCACAAGTGTGGCAACCCCTTTGGTTTTATTTATGAGTGGCTTTATATCACTGGCTGGATAGTTTAGTGGTTTAGGTATCTGGCTGTGGAGCCAGAGGTTGGGAGTGTGATTCCACACTGTACCTCCTATGGAGCAGAGCCAGCCTATGAGGCCCTGGGCAAGCTGCAGTCTCAGGACACCCCCAGAAGAAGGGAATGGTAAACCACTTCTGTGTAATGCTCTACCTCAAAAATTCTGAAAAGTGTTGCAAGTCAATCAACTTGATGACACACAATACATACATATACTGTATATATATCATCAAGTGAGGTGCAGGAGTGTGATACTGACAAAAGTGAGGTGCAGCAATATGATACTGACATTAGCTATTACAGCCAATAAAATTAAATGGTAGTATAAACAGACGACATACAGGACTGTAAAGTTAAAAGAGGGAGAAAGTTATACAAATAGCATTGAACCCTATAAATGTGTGAAATACTAAATGGAAAATGCTTTTATATATTTATGGAAAGAAACGTGAGATGAAGTAAACAGTTTCAGTCCAGTCCAAATTCAAAGTGAAGGGATATATTAGACTCCCTTAACAGGGAAAGAAAAAGATGAATGGAGAAGCAAATTAGTCACAATCTAAGTCCAACCCAAAGCAATGGAACAGGACAGATTTTATTTTAATGGAACTCCAGTACGATAATCTTTTTCTAATTTGTGCCTACTTCATTTAGCAGGCAGCCAAACACAGCTTAAGTGGATGTCAATCAGTGATTATTTCTTCAAAATGTCCCTAGCAGAGCCTTCAAGACCATCATTTTTATTATATATCTGGTGCTCATTCCTGAAGCTGTTGCAGAAAGAGAAGTACAAGCTTATGCTTATTAAACCAGGTCCCAAACCACCCAACTAGTCCAGTTGCTAATGCCACTTTAAAGTTTCTCCAATAATCTTTATTAACAGTATTCTCTCTGTCTTTAGTTAGTAAGTTCCATCATGAAACTTGCGTTTCAAAAAGATAATGTCAACATAACAACATAACATCCTCTGACTATTATTAACAACTTCTCCTTTCTGCTTTCCTAATTGCCCTTACTTCCGTCCTGCTTGCCTCCTTCCTGTTTTGTGTGGAAGGCTCCTATGAAATTATTTTACTGAGGTCTGCGCTTTTAAAAATAAGCCTTCCATGAAGCATTTACCTGTAAGAACATATCAAGCACCAAACTATGTTTTAGATAACTTTTAACAGAACAGAAAAAAACAACTCGGCTTTAATTAAATTAGCATGATACTTAGGATGGTACACCATCTGGACTATAAACATTTGTTTTAATGTAAGACAAAACAAGACCTGTTACAATTCAGGGAGACAGCAAAACTCCTAATAAGATGCACTGAACGTTTTATATGAGAACCTAAATGGATGTGATAAAAATATGCAAAGGGATAATCTTCCCTGGTCTGTTATTTGGCTGACACTATAAACTGACTAAATATTTGATTTTCTAAGCCATGGTCTCTTGTTATAATTCTTTAAGAAGTAACTACCGTATTTGCTGGCGTACAAGATGACTTTTTGGCCCTGAAAAAAATGCCTCCAAGTGGGGAGGTCATCTTGTATGCCGGGTGCATGTCCAGCAAACCCTCCTTCTCTCCCAGCGAAGTCACTTCCCTGGTAGTAAGACCGAGGAGAGCAGCTCCTAGCCTGGGAACAGCCTGACTCTAGCGCCGAACAGCTGACTGTGGGGAACAGCAGAGAGGCGGCAGCCATTTTGAGATGCAACCACATGGCTGCTGCCTCTCCAAAATGGATGCCACCTTTCCAAAATGGCTGCCGCCTCTCTGCAGTTCCTTATTCCAGCAAACCCTGGCTCTCTCCGAAAAGGAACCAAAATGGGCAAAAAGAACTCTCCCTATGATGCAGCCAAAGCAGAATCACGCATGCGGAAGAGGGGGTAGTCTTATACAGCAAGTATATAACAAACTCTACATTCTGAGTGGGAAAGTTGGGGGGTGGTCTTATACACCCAGTCGCCTTATACACCGGCAAATACGGTACTTACATTTTTACAATGAAATAAATCTATTTTTAAATGCAGCAAAACTTAATTGGTAGTAGTTTATATTGATCTATGGATGAGTATCTGTCAATCAGTCCAGCTGCTAATAGGAGCAATCCAGGATTTAAGAGACAAAATTAGAACTGCTGGTAACATGCCATGAAGTAAACAGGGTAGCCTTATGGGAGGGGGACACAACATTCTTGAAACATTCAAAAAGAAATGCACTGCAACTAACTAAAAGGCAGCTCTAAGATTATGA